AGCTCGGTGCTCTGGCACATGCTTTCCCCTCCTGTCTGCCAACCCCGCCCCCACACCCCACCCCAAATGTGGCTAATCCCTACTTGTCCTTTAAGATCCACACAAGCAAACAAAAGATAGCTCCCAACAGGAATCTACCCTAAGAATATAAACATGTAGGCAAAAATGTTGTTCAAAAGCCATCTGTTTCCATGTAATTATTATTTATAACAGTGAAAAAACTGGTAAGAACGTAAATGTTTTTAAGAATGGGAAATGTTTCATAAACTATTTCCCGATTTCGGGTGTATGAGGAGAGCTGCATTTGGGGGGTTGTTGTTTTGTTTTTTGAACTGCCAGCCAAAAGCCCTGTCCAGGGCACTGTATATTGAGGGTTCTCAAATGAAGGGCCATGGAGGGCTCCTGAACTGAATGAATAGTTACCTTTTGCTGCAGCTGTGAGTCACAGTTAACACAGTGTCTGGGCAGACAGAATGATGGGCTCGATGGCACAGTCTCTGTGTGGTACAGGACACAATGTGATACACAACGAAGAAACTCAGAAACTGTATGCATTTGCCAGGACCTGCGAGAACTTTGCCTCACAAGTATCCAAGAGAGAGTGAACAGGGCAGTAAATCGCTCTGCTGGAACAGCATCACGACGCTGAAGTATGATCTGTATAAGAGTGTAATTACCATACGGGAACCTAATCCTTTTGAGTGTGCTGCCAAAAATACTAGCACTCAACAGAATGCCAGTCTATTCGTTAGCGTTATGCTGTAACAAATAAGCCCCCAAACTCTGGGGTTCTTTCTCACCCGTGTTTCTAGTCCATGTGGTTTTCTTCCTCTTGGTGACTCAGGCACCCAGGCTCCTTCCAACTGTGGCTGTTCCACCCCTAGCCTCGGAGTAGGGCAGATGGAGAGAAAGAGTGTGCACAAGTCATCTCTTACTCAACTTGGCCTGCAAGTGACACATATCACTTCCTGTCCCCTTTGCTGGTGACTAGTCACAGTCCCACCTAGATACAAGAAGTGCTAGGAACAATCCTTGGCTGAGCAGCCACTTTCCAGCGACACCACTATACTATGATGGGAAGAACACACATTTCTGGTGGACAGCCACCCTCTTTGCTGCAGCCACAAACCCAGAAGAATTGAGAACCACCGGGTACTGGGTTTTGTTGCTATGCCACATGGAGGGGCAATAGCCCATACAGCCTCCTTAGCAGAACCCAGTCTCCTGCTCCACATTTTGTGCACTGGAACGTACCACAGGCTGGTGGAGACCTTGAATGTTGCCTCGTCTTTATTCTAGGGATGACACTGGTTCAGGCCTGTTTGCGTTCCTCTGATGGCCATTCAGTGTGCTCCTCTCTGCACATCTTCCCGTCAACCCCTGCTACACCACCATCATGGCTCAGGCCCTGGTCCCTGGTCCGATCAGTTATCACTAGGGAAGCAGAGCTGGTCCCACTGTATGCTTCCAGTTTATGAGGCATAAATATTAACTTTTCTGGAGAAAGATATGCCTGGGACCCCTTCTCCTAGAGAGAGATGATAGGCACAGCAAGTGCTTGGAGCTTTCTGGACCTACCAGAACTGCTGTGTATTGGTTTAATATGATTACAAATCCACTTGTCTGTGACTTGAGTAAAGTTGTTTTAATCTACTTGCTTATGACAAAGACAAAAAAAAATGTTGTTCTGAGATAAGAATGACAGGATGTCATCATTCTTCATGGGTTGTCGTTGATAAGCAGGCAGCAGCTCAGCTGCTAAGGGGCCCCACTGGGGGCTTACCCCTAAGAACATGTGGAGAAGCAGCGATGGCAAGGGGACATTTAGACTATAAATATGAGAGTGTGAGGATTATTTGAGACTTTCCCGGTGGCAGCCTGTGAAAGAGATCAGTCTGCCCACCAACACTGGCGTCTTCATTTCCTAGCAACGCGCTCTAGCAACTGGGACTTTTACTTTTGCCCGGGCAGCTGGGAATCAGCTCAAGGCTGGACTCTTCCCAAGGCTTCCGTATAAGAAGAGACAGCTCATATTAAATTCGGACTTTATTCCTTCACCTCCCCTTGCCTTGAACAACAGTGTGATTTCATCGGGCATTTGTTTGGAGTGTGTTATTTCTTTATTTGGCTTATTAAGAGCTATCATCCTGTGTGCTATTAGCTTGTGAAATTATTGTAGTTACCACAGCAAACCTGTGCTAAATAAATTGCTAGCAAAGAGAACTTTGGCTGAAAGCCACATGAGGGCAGGAACAGTGTCCATCCCGCTGACCACTGTCACCACTGTATCCTCAGCGCTTAGCCCAGTGTTTCAGACAGCCAGGTCCCTTCCAGCTTGTAGCACCGAAGCCACCAGAGACTGGGAGTCCGGCTGGCAGACTGGAGGAGACCTTGGAGAAGCCACAGTGGAGTCGAATCGTTCCTTACTGGGGGGGGGGGGGGGGGGGGGGAAGGAATGAAAATTCATGCTCTTGGTAACTATTTAATTACATAGAAAAGAGTAAAGATAAAGTGTTAAGGAGACAAAGCAGAGTACATACTTTTATAATCAGTGTGATCACAATTTAAGAATCACATCAAAAGCAAAAAAAGAATGAATTTACCTATTTTTAACAGTTTTCGGCACTTCTGAGCCCTTCACTAAATAACAACCAACCAATCCACCCCTGGGTTTAACAGTAGCTGTCACAACGGCTATTGTTTGCCAATGCGGGCTCTTGCCTGAGAGCTCTTCTAGGAAAAGTGGATGGACTCCGTGGGGTCGGGAAGCCCTCTGCGTTCTTTCTTCCTATTGGATCGCACCTGGAACCTTTCCTTTACCGCCCACATGTTTAGTGGGCACATTTCTCACTGTTTGGTGGAAGGTGGGAGAGGCAGCCTGGATCCAGACCCGTTGCCTCAGCTCACTTTTCTGAATGCTCTTTCGGGATCAAATTCAAGAATGCCTTCTGGGTTCAATTTTTTTAAAAAATCCTCTAATTACATAAACACATATTATACATGCATAGAAAGACTAGAAAGAAATACATGAACGTGTTTATCTTTGGTTCATGCATTTACAAATAAATAATTTTACTTTCTTACATATTGCTGTATTTTCCAAACCTTCTGCAATAAGCATGTAATCTCTTTTACAATCATATTTCAAAGTCACGGCAAGTGGAATTGTTTTGTTTTTGTTTTTGATTTTTTTTAAAGATTTTATTGGGGAATTGGGGGAGGGAAACAGACAAGTTGCTGTCCTTTTGTTCTTCAGTCTATTTGTGGAGGACATCGACTCATGGGCCCATGTTGGTATTATCATTGCGCTCTTCCCAGGTGAGGCAGTCGCTCACTGACCATTGGATGGCTGCTCTCGATGATTCACGGCAGTCCAGCTCCAGGTCAAGCTGTCATTCACCATCTTAGCTGTAAAGGGCACAGCATCACTGGCCCTCATGTGGGATACAAACCCAGGCCCTGCTGCTCAGGGTTGGCGTCCCAAGCCAACTCTTAACCAACGTGCCACTTGGCTGGTCCTGGAATTGTTATTTTAAACACCTTTCAAATGCTGTCTCCTCCAGGAATTGTTCAGTGGCCACTCCAAGGGGACCCTCCTCAATTTTCTCATAGTGTGTGTCCTCTAGTGTTCTTTACCATTCGCTGAACACACTGATTTTAAGTGTTTATCTATCTTTCAACAAGACTTGACGCTCTTTAAGGAGAGGGGCTGATGCTTTAATCTCTGAATCCCCAGGGCCCAGCACACACGCTAAGCATTCATTTGAGAATCAAATGAAGAAATCAGATAAGGCATATACACTCAGGTGTTCTCATTCTAAATCCAGATGCCTCTTCCCTGAAACTAAAAGGACCCAGGATTTTCTCCACTCTGGACTGTAACCTGGGCCCTGGGAAGAATTTGGGAACTATATGAGATTCTGAAGAACTGCTCCCCTGAACGCAGCAGAGTGAGGGTTGAATCCACATTGGGTTTTCCTGGCAAGAGCCAAGATTAGTCACATGGTGCACTTGGAGGATTCCCTGAGTCTGCTCATTCCTTCGGGATCACTCACTCCTCCCAGGACCTCCCTTGGGAACAAAGGAAAACCCAGGACTCATAACTGGGCTCTTTTCCACCAACAGCTGCTAGTAGTTTGCACTTCACTCTAAACCACAATTAAAATAAATGTGTGTGTGTGTGTGTGTGTGTGTGTGTGTGTGTGTGTGTGTGTGTGTGTGTGTTGGGGCGGGGGGAGAGATATGCATCCGTTAGGAAACACTTAGGTTTTCTCTACATTTCTTCCACAGATTTCTTCTAAAGGGCCTTGAGAACCAAACAGGCCACTTGCAGGACAAAAAGGACGCTCTGAAACTTAGGTTTTAACACTATCGACTACAGCAGAAGCTGAACTGTGGACCCAGTGAAGCTATACACGCTAGGAGGAGTAAATCCTTTTCCACAAAGGGTTTGTGACGCCCCTGGAGCTGACAAGCCCCACAGCACCCTCCCTCCCCGCTCTGCGGGGCTAGACCGGGGCAGGGGAGCTCGGCTTCCCCGCGAGATGCCCGCCGACCCTGGGCGCAGGCCGCGAAGACGCTCGGAGTGGACTTCCTGGGGCCTTATCTGAGAACAGCTAGGTCGTTGGGGTTCCACGTGCCTCTCCCTGCAGTGTTATCTAGAAAACAATTCCTAGACCTGCAGGTTACCAGGTCTTGGGCCAGCGCGCCCCACCCGCACAACCGCGGGCTTCTCTGATTTCCTCACTCTCTAAAACCGAGCCCGAGAAGGGCTCCACCGAGGGTGGGGACGTCTTGAAATATTCGCGATCATTCGTGTAGGAAGAGTTGACAATCATGCTGTCACTGAGGGCGGGTGGAGGCCAGGAGTGAGCCGCCCCCCCCCCACCCCCCCGGACGCTCACAGCGAGGAGGGTGTGAGCGCAGCGCCTGGGGTGGGGGGGCAGGAAGAGGCGGGAGGAGAAGGGGTGGGGTGAGCCGAGGCCCGACACCCGCCCAGGCTCCTCCTGCCTCCCCCCACCCCCACCTACTAAGGCGCCGGCCCGCGGCGCCCCGCTCACTGGCCGCGCGTTCCAGCCAGCCGAGCTATCCTGCCGCGCCTCCCGCCAAGGTGAGTTCCGCCCGCCGCTCCTGGGCTGCCCCTGCCCGGGACCCAGCGCCCGGGGAAACCCCTCATCGGAGGCTCTGGCCCGCCCGCCCGGCTTCGCGGGATGTCCCAGCGCCGGGGGGGCCAGGACGGGAAGTGGCTGGAGGTCTCCGCGCTCCGGGCCACACCCAGCCGAGGCGAGCGGCGACCCCTCCCCAGATCCTCGCGGGCCGGAGGGGGCACCTCGGGGTTGGTGCCTCGGAGCCTGCGTTCTCTGTTTCTCTCTCTTTAATGCCACTTGCCACTTTTCGACTAGTCTCCCCAAGTGATCCGAACCCCCGTTTCTGGCCCCGTGCTGGCGAAATGTTTCTTTGCGGGCTCGGGCTGCGGGCTGACCTCTGCGCAGATGCTCGTAGCCTCTTCCCAGTTGGCCGGCCCAGGAAGGCTCGGGGCGGGTGGGGGTCGGCTAGGGAGGGCCCTCCTCAGGCCCCCCCGCCCAGATGCTTCAGGTTGGGTTTCCTGTTGTTTCTCTGCTAGACAAGAAGGTTCTTACTGCTCACGAGGGAGGGAGGTCTATATTTCTTTACACCGCACTTTTGCTGGGGGAGGGGGGGGCCTATGTGAAGTGATTTCTCTACTGAAAGGATCCCCTTCTTGTACCTTAATTAAACAAGTGGGGCTATACAGAAACGGGACGAGCAGGCTTGATGACCCACCTTCCAACCCAGATGAATCTGGCCCGGTTCAATGAGACAGCGATAGACTATACCTGTTCACAACTTGAATTTGGCCAGAGGAGTGGTGCTTCCTCCAGCCCTGGACACTGCACTGTCCAGCCTCCGCCCGCACTCTGCTGCGTTGTGTGTGTGTGTGTGGGGGGGGGGTGAGGAACAAGCAGCTGTGGGCCAGGCACTCCCGGGCTGGAATACATTAAGCCCACCCCACTTGGCTCCGTGGGGGAGCTGGGTACATTCTGCAGGGCGTGGTGAGCACAAAGGGCTCGGGGGTTCTCCTGGCGGAGGCCTGTGACTCAGCTGTGAGACCATGTGGGTGTGGCCCTGAGGGTTCCAGCTACTCTGCAGATGGATGGGCCAGGGCACTCCCTGAAGGAAAAGAGGTACTGTGCCATCGTAGAGGGCATTTTCCGAGAGGAAGTGAGTCACACCAGGACTGGCCGGCAGTATGATGGAGCGGTTTCTTGCCTGAGCTGTGGGTGAAGGCAGCGATTAGACTGGCAAGGCGTTGGCGAGACCAAGGCCATGGCGGACCGCTGCTGGGTTATCCGTCTGATTACGCCTGCTGGCAAGCTGCCTCAGCTTCACTGGGAGGTAGCTTTTCCCGTTAGGAGGTTTGCAGTTGCTGCAGGTCCTCCCCTCCCAGCTGCCTGAGTTTCAACCCTTAGCAGTGGGTTTTATACCCTGAGCTTCAGGTGGGGCCCGGCCCATGGAAACGCCCTGTCGATGATCTTTGCCTCCAGCGTGTTTCAGCAAATTGCAAAAGATGATTCCAGGAGCTAGGGCAGGTGTGAGTTCATATAACACATTTGAAATTTCTTCATCGGCCCTGCCTCCACAAATTCCTACCGGGTCTATTTAATCACCTCTTCTGAATGGTATATATCTTCCTGGACAGCCAGCAGCTGCTTTCTTCATCGCTGTCCTCATCCACCATTTGGAGTTTCAGTTCCTCAGATTTTCTTGAGGGCCCGCTGGGCAGAAAGCACCCTGGTTTCTAGGTGATGCTCTTCCCTGGCGTTTCCTGCACAGCACATCAGATGGGCCCCTTTCCTCGCCTGTCGGGCCTCTGGCCAGCCTCTCAAGCAGCCACCCCAGTGAGGTCAGGCCTGGGCCTGGGAGGAGCTGAGACTGGGTGCCTCCCTGCTTCCCAATGACAGTTCCAAAAATGTGACTTTTGTAGAGCACTACCCACTTGGTATGCCCTTGGCTACCGTCCAGTCCTTTAAAGTTGGGGAAAACAATGGAACCCTTCAGGGTTATGATGTATAAATTAGCACTCAGTGCTGACAGAGCTGGACGGAAATTTTAGCACCTTTCTAAAGCGGCTCATTTTCCTGCGGATTCAACAACTTAGGAATATTGCATCAAACGCAAAAAGAATGAAGCTTTAGCGGTTTTCGGTACTTCAAAGACCTTCACTAAATAACAACCAACCAACCCACCCCTGGATTTAACAGTAGCTGTCACAATGGCTACTGTTTGCCAATGCGGGCTCTTGCCTGAGAGTTCTTCTAGGAAAAGTGAATGGACTCCGTGGGGTCGGGAAGCCCTCTGCGTTCTTTCTTCCTATTGGATCGCACCTGGAACTTTTCCTTTACTGCCCACGTTTTTAGTGGGCACATTTTCTGGTTGGTGAAAGGAAGGTGGGAGAGGCAGCCTGGATCCAGACCCGTTGCCTCAGCTCACTTTTCTGAATGCCCTTTTGGGATCGAATTCAAGAATGCCTTCTGAGCTCAATTTCCAAAAAAAAGAAAAAATACGTGTTTTTTTTTTTCCTCTTCAAAATCTCTGAAGAAAAGGAAGGAAACCTCAAACACAGTTTAAATAACAGATGTTTGCTTTTACTGACACCCTGCCAATTATTTTCTGGGTGGGCTGTAAGAAAACTAGGGTATGGATGAGACAGAGAAGAGCGAAGTAAACCAGACCTCTTGCTTTTTAGAAGGGTCCTTTTTGAAATGACGGCCTGGATCTGGGCCTGCATCCAGAGCAAACATTTGGGATTACTCAGGAGCAGACACTTTGCAAAGGAGGCCTCCTGCTTCTCCTAGGAGGATCAAACTTGACATTATTATCATTTTCCTTCTTACGGACTCTTAAGCAGGCTCTATGAGGGAAGGATGCTAGCTTAGTTACCCAGCTCAAGGAGCCCACGATCCAGGGGGGAAAGAAACAAACACAATTAACTAGAATTTATGACATACTTTAAATAGTATGCCATTAGCTGGGGAACTCCCCAAAGGCAAGCACCATAAGTGAGCGTGTCTGTCTCCCTAGCGCCAGGACCAGGACATGCAAAGGAGGTGGTTAGTACACGAAACCAAAAATGGAAGATTGAATTCCCACCACTGGGACTAAGTGTGTGGAGTCCAGAATTCTTTTTGGTAGAGAAAAACGACACAACGGAAGACTACAGACTTCCGAGCCTCCACATCTAAGACCTCTTGCCCAGGCAAACAGGAGATATACAGATGAGAGAATAAAACAATTCAATAGAAAAATGAGCGAACAATAACGAAGTTCTATCCTGTGGAGCTTGCAGGGAGAGGGCAGAGCTAGAGAAGCATGGAGTAGAAAGTGGAATGGACCAAAACACAAAAAAACCTCGAGTGAGTAGAGAGAGAAGCCACGTCAGGGTCTGACCAGACCTGTTCAGCAGGACGCATATTTTCTCCTCGGCTTATGGGATGTGCTTTCCTCTGTACTCGACTCTTTCATTCATAGGCAGCCCCTTTGGGGCCCCTTTCCCGGCCCTTCCCAGCTCTCACGTCCTCACGCTGAGCTCTGAGCTGCAAGGGCTTCAGCCCAGCCCTGTAATCACACTTGTACCTCAGCTCCCGCCAAGGGGATTGTTTGGTTCATTTGTTCACTCATCTAGCAAACAGTTATTTAGCGCGTATGGATAAAACAGTAATTCACAGTTCTTATCCTAGAGGAACGTAAATCTATGGCAGAGAGACAGACAGGTAAAGAATAAAGGGATTGGGCGTTTCAGGTGCAGGCGTAGGTGGGCTGGGGCACCGAGGGGACACTGCTGCCTGTCAGCCCCAGGCCCTGCAGTGCAAAGTGTGCCCAAGCTAGAAGTCAGAGTCCCGCCCCGCCCTGGAGTGGAGCTTGTGGAGTGGCTGGGGCGATGGAACCAGATTCCAGCAACCAGCGGTTGGCGCTGCGGTTTTGCACTGCAGTCAGCCCCACCCAAGATGGGAGGGCCTCCCTGCAGCGCTGACTCAGTGGGACATCCGCTGGCTGTGCTCGGAGAGCTGCGTGATTCTGCCACTGCCCAGAGAATAGTCTCAATCACAACGCTGTCTCCTTTTCCTTTATCTTACTTAACACCAGGGCTTCTCCTTCAAAACAGAAGAACTTGCTAGCAGCCCTGGTCAGTGCCCTCTGGGGCCCCGTTACTGAGGAAACAGGGCATCTCCTCCAGTTTTCAAAGCTATTTTCACCTTCACAACCTTCGATCTCCTGGCTAGCCCCTGCTCTGTAGTCTTAGTGCAAAAATAAAAGAGTCAGCTGGCTGCGGTATTCACAACCAATCTGCTGAATAAAATAGCCCGGGGCAAAGGGGACCCAGTGAGGCAGGGACATGGCTTCAGAGAGGAGAGCTCCCTCACTTCATGAACTTCATGAGCATGGGAGCAGGGGGCGCGGGGGATAGGGATGGGGCGACCTAAGACCTCACTAAGGGAAGGCTGGCCTCACTCGCTTAAAAAAGATACTCAAGGGTGGCCAACATTTCCTCAGCTTGTGACCTGCTTTTCTTAGAAGTTCCTGAATCTGCCTGGCTTCCTATTTTAGGGGTCCCCACTCTGGCTTTCCAGGGCACTTTCCTTCTGCTCTGCGCTGTAAAGAAAGGGAACTAGGTTTCTCACAGCCGGTTTCTGTTTCTGGATCTTTGGGAACCGGTCGTGAAGTGCTCTGCTCTGAGCTGGGGCACAGGTATTTTTAAACCTCTGTCAGCCAACTCTTTTTCTGGGTTATTTCAGAACTGAGGTGGGATCCCACATCCTTCTCCCATAGGTGACTCTCTCAGTTCAGGTCTCGAGTTGCTGGACTTCCAGAAACAACCCAGGCAAGGCTGACTCCATCTAAGCTGACTGCCACCTGCAGCCATGTGACAGAGATGAGCCAGACTTGGCTGCTTGGGAAGACAAGGAGAAGGGGGTGGTTGGGGCCCCGGGAACTCATCTCCCAGTGGACTGTGAGCATTGATTTGCTGCTCCCTCGAAGAGAACTGCCTTTCAGAAGAATCATGCACTCTAGCACATTCTTTGGCATGCTGGTTCCTGTACTTTTCTGGGGATTAAAGGGTAGAATTTACTATTCTTAAGTGTGCATTGTTCCCCACCACCACCTTCTCCTCTGTAAGTGACAACATGTAGTGGGGTGTGCTGAACACGCCCCCATCAGCAGCAGAAACCAGACCGAAAGCAGCGCGAAGTGTCAGCCTCTCCTCCAACCTGTGCTCAAAACCTACTCTTGTGATTGTTTTTTTAGGGAATGGTACCTTAGTCTCCATTCCAGTTTGACTGTTTCCTATCCGGTGGCGACTTGAGGGGATGTTAGCCAAAGCGGCACTGTTCTGGCCAAAGCATTTCTTCCAATTAGGCCCAAATCCACTGAGCCTCTATCAGGTCCTAGGCACTGGGTCTTGGTGAGACACACACACACACACCCAGAGCATTACATCCAAATCTAACGATCGGACACGTTTCCTTTCCTCTCTTTTAAACTCTTCGTGGTGAATGGCTCTCGTGCTTCCACTGCACCCCAGACTGTGAAAGTAAGTGTTGTGTCCTGGCTGCCAAAAATCTATGAGGTCCCCAAAGGGGTTAGGATGTACTGGTACTTATTCCTTCTCAAGACCCAGATAATGAGCTTCAGGGAGCTTTGATTCCAGTGGGACAACCGCATTTTACTACCAAAGATGCAAATAAATGTCTTTGTTGCAATCACGAAGAAGCTCAGAAGTTAATAAAGAATAAAACTCCAGCAGACAAAAGGCCTTTGTAAGTGGACTTCTAAACCGAAGAATTAGACTGAAGCAGGCTGCCCTGGTTGGAAGGCTGAAGTTTTCCTATTAACCAGGCCTGACTGTGGGTTGCTGGTCTTCCGCTGCATCTGAGTCCTATTTACTAGCACCCAGAGAAACGATGAAGCATCTGTTCTTTCAGTAGGTGCTTTGTCAGTTAAGAAGAGGGACACCGATCTTGCTTTTCCAGATGATCAGAGGTTTTATTCTTCAGGGCGTGACTGCTGCAGAATTAGCGGGCAACTAGATACACCCCTCATTCAGAGCACCAATTCCTGTGGTGCCTTTTTCCATCAGCAGGAGTACCAAACCCAGGGTGAACTGGTCACTGAATTTTGCAGCTGGAAAGAATCAAATGGATAATCAAATGGGCAACTCCTTCCAGTTGTCCTCGAAAGACTGGCAATCTGTGTAGCTTCAGAGTTCATGAAATCTCTCTCTCTTTACAGCTTGTCCTGTTTCAGCCGACCTCACCACAATGCCGTCCCAAATGGAACACGCCATGGAAACCATGATGTTCACATTTCACAAATTTGCCGGGGATAAAGGCTACCTGACAAAGGAGGACCTGCGAGTGCTCATGGAAAAGGAGTTCCCCGGGTTTCTGGAGGTAAGTACTGAGCGGCCCAGGAGGACCGGACGTAAACTCCAGGGCTGCTGGGCCCTGGCTCTTAGACCTCCCTCTCCCTTCCTTCCCTGTGGAGGTCACGGCCAGAAAGGTGTTTTCACTCACTATTTGTTGAACATTAGTGAGTGTCTACTGTCTGTGAGGGGAAAGGGGAGGTCAAGAAGACACAGCTCTGCCCTCAAGGAGCTTACACTTGGGAGGCGAAAGAAGACCACACACAAGTAGCCACAGTACGAGGTGTTTGTTAGAAAGAGTACCTCTGCGTCCATCGAAACCGAGTTGCAGGAACAGCCTTTCACAAGAGTCACCAGCAAGGCTGCCGGGTTGCCCTCAGGTCCGTGAACCTGGCATTGGACATGTCACATCCTGGTTGCGTCCACTTTGAGCCACTTGACTCTCCCTTCTTACATCCCTTCAGATACAGGCTTTTAAAAATTCTTTCCAACTCTAATCTAAAGAAATGGTGTCGAGCATCTGCTGAATGAGAGCCAGGCGTCACTACAGAAATAACTGCGTTTCACACTGAAAATGCTACGAGAACATGGGCACAGTGTGAGTTTCTGCCTCACCTTTGACAGACTGAGGGCTCTGTGAGGACTAGAAAGGACTCTGCCACCAGCTCAGTTACATCACTCGGGACAAGAGGCCGCAATGTCCTTCGACACTGTAGGGCCTCAAGAGATGGCTGTCACACCTCACTGAAGGGGAACACCATTGCTTGACAAAGTACTGCGCTTGGTATGGATTCGTGCGTTCACCTCTCAAGGGTGAAGGGAGACAACGGGAAAAGGCTGGGTCCTCTCTCGTCATCTGCCTGGACAAGAGCACATCCATCAAGCCCCTGACCCCGACTCAGCAAACACAGGGTTTGCAGTACCCGGATTCACATGTCATCAGCGCCAGTTAAATAAACAGATAGAAACAGCCTAACTAGTCTCAAGAGTTGCAGTTACCATAGTGATACCCCCGAGTGGGTTAGAGTGTACTGTCACCCTGCTTTTGTACCATCCAATGGAACTACCCCAGACCAGGAGGTAGTTAGCACTGGGCAGGTTGCTTCACATTTCGGGGCCTCGGTTCCCTCCTCTGTAAAATGAGAGGGCTGGATGTGAGTATCTCCAAGGTCACCTTCACTTTCTGTGCTTTTCCCGGGCAAGCATAAAATGCAAGGATAAAATACTCATTGCAAGCCCGCCCATGACGTGAAGAAAGGCATTCTCAGTATACCACATGCTCGTTAATGGTGCCTTTGCCTAAGTTAGAAGGCGGGATGAGTATCCCATGGGACACAGACCTCTCCTCCCTGAAGGCCCTGTGGCCTAAGGGTGTGTGTGACACGGGGAACTGACCATGGCCGTGGAATTCATCCCGGGCCCAGCTCATAATTCCAGGCACACCCACACTCACTGCATTACCAGAGCATCTGGTTTCTAAAGTTGACTCCTTCTGTCATCCAAATTGTACTCGTGCTGACCACAGCCAGGAAGCTGGGGGTGAGGCCAGAATGAACTGAATCCCACTAAAAGCAGAGGCAGCTGCACAGGGCAGGCGTTGGCTCTTTGCTTTGGAAAGGAGTTTGCTGTCTGTGTAGGACACACTACCGCTTTTACCTTAAGGGACTTTCAAGTGCCATCTGTAAGCATCCGGCGCCCCGGTACACTGGGTGTCGGTTCCCTCTCGTGGTTCCACTCAGTGGAGTTTGTAAATACTTTGCTGGGGTCCTTTCGCTCTTCTAAAGGGCCATAGTTCCCTCTCTGGTTGACGGCATGGACCCTGTAGGAGAAACCACACTTTCTCACTTCCAACCATCATCGCCACGAAAAGGAGTGATCAACCCAGTCACCATAGAAGCCAGATGGAAGAAAAAGCAGAGGCTCTTCCTGTCCACCTCTGCTCCGCGCATTCACCACAGGATGGATGGAGTGTCATGGCGCTGACGCCATCACACATTCTCGTTTGGAGGAATCCAGGAAGCGTGTAGGCTGGCATAGGGTTACCAACGCAGTAAGAATGGAAGCAGTGTTAGAGACACAAGTCCAGCCTCCTCAATTCACAGTTGATACACAAAGTCCCACTAAGTGTGACTTACTCAGGGTTCCAGGGCTAATAGGATATGAAGCCACACTAGCTCGGCCCCAGTTGTGCCAAGAAACGAAGAGAAATGAGGGCCATCAAGCCATCCTCTCCAAAACGAACACACCCCGTGGCATCATTAGCACCTCCTCAAAACTCGTGGGACACTGGTCTGAAACTTACTCCCTTTTCCTAAGAGTTTCCTTTTTAAAGGACTTGGCTATCGGGAATAAGAGTTTGTTAAGAGGGTGTCAGTTTAAACTACAAAATGGGAGTTTAGGGTGGTTCTTAGGCAGACTCCTGTGATTGGAAGATTGTGGAAACAGTTGAACTGGAAGCAAAGCAGGCGGGAAGGCCATGCTGGGTTCTAAGTGGCAAAGAACACAGAATTGGGAGGCCTGGGTCTACCTTCTCCGGCACCAAAAAAGGCCTTCTCAGAGGTCCCTATAATTATATGAAAGATTGTCATGGGAACCTCTTTCCTAGCTTAAAATAAATATCAATTTACTGAAATGCTGCCCCAAGGCAACAAAATCCGTTTAGATGACCTCCAAAGATCACTTAGGACATAAAACAAGAACTCAGATAATTGGGAGGTTATACAGATGGTTGTCAGCAGCGCGGATGGAAGACGCTGGTCCCCGACTGATAGTTCTTGCCTTTGTCCTTTTTTTTTTCAGAACCAAAAAGACCCTCTGGCCGTGGACAAAATCATGAAGGACCTGGACCAGTGCCGAGACGGCAAAGTGGGCTTCCAGAGCTTCTTCTCGCTCATCGCGGGGCTCACCATCGCATGCAATGACTATTTCGTAGTACACATGAAGCAGAAGGGGAAAAAGTAGGCGGCGCTGCGCAGTAACGCCCGCCCCGAGAAGAGTCCTCACCATGGGTCGCATCCGGAATCCCCCCCCCGCCCCATAGCTTCCCCTGGATAAGGATTTCATGAGCAGATTGGGACCCTTAGAAAATGTACAGATAAAATCCCACCTCCATTTGACAAGAGAAACACAAGCCAATTAGAACCAGATAAGCTTTTGATTTTTATATTGCTTGTATCCTGCTGCCCTCAATAAACAGATTTCTTTTTTAGTTCCTAACTTGAGATGGACTGTTTTGTTCCTTCTTCAGAAATGCTTGTTCCCGGCTTCCTTTCACGGAAAGCCCGAATACACGTGGCAGCCAGCGCAACTCAGGGCTCTGGCCACAGAACCAACAAAACAGGGAGGCACTGTCCACTCAGGCCTGGAGTCAAGCTGCTCTCACTGATGCGCCCTTGGAGCTGTGTCTCGCCTAAGGACCACAGCACCGAGGATGAGAAGGCGCTCCAGGAATATATTCTGATTTTATCATCAGTGAGCACAGTCTTGTCCAGTTAAATCAGTACCTTTCCAGCCAGCACATGTCAGGAGGCCTGACATGTCCAAGCCCATTTCTCAGAGCAAAGGTTCAGCACACTCGAAGGTAAAAATAGTCCAAAAAACAGAAAGTCTAGTGTGATGCCTCAATAACAGCGTCACATTAACATTTATTGAGTTGTCAGGAAGTAGGCTAGCGTGCCTTATGTCCTGGGCTGTGCTTTTTTGTTGAAATGAAGTACTGGTACTGATGTCATGATAAACAGCAAAATGTTTCTCCCGGCCCTTTCTGTGCCTGTTTACAAACTATATTGCATGAAGAATGTAGATGCGTTACATTCTACAGGCTTATTTGTACATGTCTTTCTGAATTGGCACATGAAATTGTTCCAACTAAATAGATCAAGGAAGATGGAAACATTTATTTTTATGATTGTACACAGCAACGTAATTCTGGGGGAAAGTTCAATGTAAGGTCATCTCACACCACAAGGAAAAGCATGCAAAAGGGACCGGGATGGTCCAAAACTAGCTTTGGGGAAAAGACATCCAATAAAATCAAGGTCAAAGATAAAATTCCAATCATTTAGTTTTGTCTCAGCCATTAAAAGAACAAGATAAGAGAACTCACAGCTTTGTAGCTATGGGAATATATCAGCAAGTTTACAAAGAGGGATTTATTACAAGATATTAAATGGAGGAGGGGAGTCAGCTAGCTAAAAAAACTGATCCAGGAATGACTCCCAAATTCTGCCGTAGAACTGGGCCATCAAGGAAGCTGCTAGCTCGGGAAGCTGCCTGCAGAATGGGGAAACCATTGCTCAGAACCACACAACCCACGGCACTGTCCACACCAGCCAATACAGACACCCATTTCCCTGCCCTTTTCCACCCAGGACTGGCTCCCACATCCAAGTCTCAAGGCAGTGCATCTCATTAGTGAACATCAGTCACATCAAAACCCTAACTGAATGGTGCGTTGGTTAAGAACTGGCTTGGGATGCCAGAGGACCCCAGTTCGGATCCCACATATGAGGGCCAGTGACACTGCCCTCTATAGCTAAGATGCTGAACAACAGCTCAACCTGGAGCTGGGCTGCTGTGGGTTGCCGGTGATGGCGTAGGCTGCAGTCCCCTGCTGCAGTGGGCTGCCATGGGCTACCGTGTGTAGCTGGCAGCCTCCGTGAGCGGCCGTCCAGAGGCTGGTGACTGATCTGCTTCGCCCGGGAAGAGCGCAATGATGGTGTCAGCTTGGGCCAGTGAAGCAACGTCCTCCACAACTAGACTGAAGAACAAAAGGACAGCAACTTGTCTGTTCCCCTTTCCCAATTCCTCAGCGCTGTTCCTCTCCCCCAATTCCCCAATAAAAATCTTTTTAAAAAATAAATTAATAATAATAATAATAATAATAATAATAATAATAATATGCTCAAATAGCCCAGCCTAGGGACTGTCATGTAACCGACTCTCAATAAAGATTAGCTGTCTTTATAAAAAAAACAAACAAAAACAAACAAAAAAACCCTAACTGCAAGGGACTCTGGGAAATAAAATTTTACATTTTTCAACCTCAGCACACTAGGAGCTGGCATGCTGGTCCATCATGTCTGCCACAGGGATGATTCCTGATTCTGTGAGAGAAGTCTTCCCACCTACAGGTTAGAGAAACTGTGAATCTGGAAGGACAGGAGGCCCTGAAAAATAACCTCTGACAGCTGCAGGGGCTGGAGAAGGGAGACTGGCCCATCACAGTGGGGCAAACCACCTCTCTGTCCATGGGCGTGTCAATCAGTCCCACTTACCCTCCGCTTTACACCACCTGCCCCCTGGGGCGCCTGTTCACTGAGTATTGTAAGTGGTGTTCAGTTCACAAATGGGCTGGTGAAACTGTAACACGATGTTATTATGGGCTTAGCTGCCCCCAGATCCATAGCAAGCTTTCCCGCTCTAAGCCTCTTTATCTGAAAACAAAAAGAACTGTCCCAGAAAGAGGGCTCTGCGGGTAGAGGAGGGGACATGTCAATTCATCTTCACAGTGGGTATGCAGATTCGAGAACATTCTAAAGCAATGTGTTAGTCCCAGGAGATGACCCCAGACTCTGGCATTCAGAAAGGTGCCCCATGCCAGGGAATCAGCTGGCTCACACATTCGGGTGTGTGTGTGTGTGTGTGTGTTGGGGCTGGGAGGGGAAGGAGAGAATAACACACATTCCTCACTTCAGTCCCATTGCTCAAAGCATTGAGCAAGGAGCTAGTACAAGGAAAATAAAAGCGGTATTTATGGCTTGAGACCTACATGCCTCTCCGTGCCGACGAAAACGCACAGGTCCCACAGTCTGGTGTGCTGAAACAGCCATGTAGGTTTCAGGGCTGCAGCCAATGGCTCCCAGAGGGCAGAGCTGTAATTATGCCAACAGCCATCAAGAGGAACCATCTGGAAAATTCCACTCATTCCGCTCCATGGCTCACTTGTGAAAGCCGGCCCCACCTCTCTCCACACCCAGTTGTGAAGCAAGAATAGAGAGCAGAGCAGAAAGTCAGTTTCCAGCGTGCTGCTCGGCTGACCCTGAAAAGCACCTCTCTCTCTCCGGGACCAAGCCCCTCGCACATGAGCCAGTTACCTGTGACTCAATCCTTTTCCACCCAATTCATCTCCGTGGGAGAACACAGGCGAGTATACACACCTCTCTCCACTTCAATGTGAAAGTCACTGGTCAAGTCCCTCCCAGCTCTGAAGCCCAGAGGGATGGCTGTGAATGGAGATCCATCATTTAGCAGATATCTACGAGGGCTACCGGAATGACACAAAGCAGAGTTCTGAGGTGGATACAAGAAAGCTGATGCCCAAGGCGCCTGCCCAAGGAGGTCATAATCTGGCTGAAAGAGAACAGATAAAGCAGATAAAAAGTTAAAGAACAACACAACATAGTGTCAGCAAGGGTGAGAGGTGACGGACGCCCCTGGTCCCCGTAATGGAAATGGAATTTATACAGCCTTTGGGGAGACAAAAGTTGGCAATATGTTCCAGGATCCTTCCATGCTTACTTTAACCCAATATTTCTCTCCCTAGGAATTTATCTTGACAAAGTAATCAAAGATAGTTATAAAGGTTCGTATACAGTAGGTCCCCCTTATCCACGGGGGATACGTTCCAAGACCCCCAGGGGAAGCCTGAAACCGCAGATAGTACCGAACCCTGTGGATCATGTTATCATGTTTTTCCCTACACATACGAGGTCAGACAATTAAGTTCGCAAACTCATCCTAGAAAAAGTGCTACAACCTCATTGCTGAATATCACTAAGGTCCTTCGAAGTACTTCCCTTGGGAGGCTAGGCACTGATGCCAGCACCTACTCCACCCTTCAAAGCAATTTTGGAACTCTTTTTCTGGAATGGCCATCAGATCTATCGTCATATTACCCTTGATGTCCTGAATGTCATCAAAATGTCCTCCTTTCAATACTTTCTTTATCTTCAGGTAAAGAAGGAAGTCATTGGGGACCAGATCAGGTAGTAGGGAGGGTGTTCCAATACAGTTATTTGTTTACTGGCTAAAAACTCCCTCACAGACAGCGCCGTGTGAGCTGGTGCATTGTCGTGATGCAAGAGCCATGAATTTTGGTGAAAAGTTCAGGTCGTCTTTTTCACGCAGGCTTTTCAGCACTTCCAAATAGTAAACTTGGTTAACTGTTTGTCCGGTTGGTACAAATTCATAGTGAATAATCCCTCTGATATGAAAAAAATTAGCAACATCGTTGCCACAAGTTCACGAACTTAATTGTCACACCTATGATAAAGTTTAATTTATAAATCGGGCACAGTCAGAGAGTAACAACAATAACTATGAATAAAACGGAACAATTATAACAATATTCTATAATAAAAGTTATATGATGGTGGCATTATTAAGTAAAATAAGGGTAACCTAAACACAAGTACATACTATGATACCGCAACAGTCGATCTGAGAACCTAGCCGGCTACTGAGTACCGGGTGGGGCGTGTCTACAGCGTGGTCACAGCTGGACAAAGGGATGATTCATGACCAGGGCGGGACTGAGCGGGACTGCGCAAGATTTCATCATGCGACTCAGAACGGCACACAATTTAAAACTTATGAATTGTTTATTTCTGGAATTTTCCATTTAATATTTTTGGACCCCAGTTGACCTGGGTAATTGAAAATACAGAAAGAGAAACTGGGGATAAGGGGGGATTTCTGTACACAGATATTTGATGCAGTATTTTTTAAAATCAATACTGAGGCAACATTAGTTAGTAACATTATATAAATTTCATATTATACAACTTTATAATATGACATCTGTACACGCTATTGTGTGCTCTCCACCTGAAGTCTAGTCTCCTTCCATCACCATATATCTGACCCCCTTTACCCTCTTGGTCCTCCCCCCAACTCTTCTTCACCTCTGATAACCACCATTCTGCTGTCTGCATCGATAAGTTTGTTTGGGGGCGTGGTTATTTGTTCATTTGTTGCTTTTTGTCTTATATCCCACATATGAGTGTCCCTTTCTATCTGACTTATTAGAATAATGCTCTCAAGATCCATCCATGTTGTCACAAATGGCAATGTTTCATTTTTTATGGCTGAGTAATAGTCCATTGTATATATGTACCACATCTTCTTTATCTAATTATCTGTTGAAGGACACGTAGGTTGTTTCTATGTCTTGGCTATTGTAAATAATGCTGCAATGAACATACAGGTGCATATATTTTTACAAATAAATGTTTTCAAAGTTTTCAGGTAGATACCCAAAAGAGGGATTACTGGGTCATATGGTAATTCTGTCCTTAATTTTTCTGAGGAAGCTCCTCTTTCCCACAGTAGCTGCACCAATTTACATTCCCACCAGCAGTGTATGAGGGCACCCTTTTGTCCACATCCTCGCCAACACTTGTTATTTCCTGTCTTATTGATTATAGCCATTCTAACAGGTGTGAGGCGGTATCTCATTGTGGTTTTGCTTTGCATTTCCCTTATAACTTTTCATTTATCTGTTAACCATCTATATGTCTTCCTTGGAAAGGTGTCTATTCAGGTAATGATGGCACAGAGGAACGTCCAGGACAGAGTACCCGGGAGGCCACGTGTAATCCAGCAGGCTAGAGTGAAGTGTATTTGCGTGAAAAGTGCATATGGTGGGACAGGGAAGCAGGAGGCAATAAGCGAAGAATAACTGGGGAAGAGTCAGTGATATGTGAAGTGTGGTGGGTGGGTGCATGAAAAACTACAACTCTAAGGTTCGGGTTAGTTCTGCTTTTTTGGGAGACAGAGATAATCTCTTATCTAACAGGAGTTCATCGACAGCAAACGTGTTCTTATGCATGTTTTACCCACTTTCCTCCAGCGCCATTCCAATCACATTCTGGCTTACGAAGGAGAAAGCAGGGTGGGGTTCACATTTATCTTTCTATTGGGTTGTCGGAAAAGTCAGGACGCATTTTTGCAACGAAAAACAGAAAAAAGATGTCATGACTTTTCCAACAACCCAATAAGAAGCACTGCTTAGAACAAAGGAGGAAGAAAAAAATGGACCTATGGCAATTCATGCCAAAACCCAGAGAAGGAGAAAATGACGATGATCGGAACACAGGGCCTGGGTAAGAAAGACGCCTCTGTGAAATACTAATTCTCATTTCTTACCACTTATCAGCCAAATGATGTGTTCACCGGACCATCGCTACCCTGTTTTTTTTTTAATGCATGAAAACAGGCAAAGTCTGGAAGGGGTTATGTAAAAGTAAAAATGGTTGTCATATATGAAAGTTTTCTTTAATATTGTTGTATCATCCTTTCAATAAGATTGACCAAAGCGGAGAATGATTTCAATGAGCTCTCTGGACACAGAACTTGTACTGCTCAATGTCGAAGTCCTAGCTGTCACATTACCCAAAGCAGCTCACCAGCGAGCAGGCCCTGCAGAGTAGGTTCTACCCCTTTCAGGCACATCCATCACGGCTCTGACAGCTCTCACAGCAATTCGCCTCCAGTCTGTTTTTCTAGAAGGAGGAGGAAGATGAGTCAGCTTTGGTCTCCGTAGGGAGGACGCGGCTCTATCCTACCCCATTCTGGGTGAGTCAGCGAACAGAGCCAGGTTTCTTGGCATTCCTACAAATTTTACAAATATTGAAATCGCCTGTCAATGATGTGATTTAAAGTACAGCAGGAAGGAGCAAATGGCAGAAAGTATAGTCACCGGCCTGCACGGAGCTGACAGTCTGGTAGAACAAGAACTGTGCAGAGCAAAGCAACAATGCGTGACGCTATGTAAGGGAAAGAGACGGCATGGTGGTGAGTGGTCAGTGCTGGTCGGGGTTTCATGGAGGAAGGATTCGGGCAGAAAGGGACAGAAAGAAGGTCCATGTGAGGAAGGGAATGAATCGTTATATACAAGCATTTGTCTAAACCAAACCCTGACTCTGAACTGGCGTTAGCCCAGAGACTCAGCACATTCCAGCTGGGGTCTGTCGGCAGCACTGTGGGTCAAGTGTGTGACCTTGGCCACCCCCCTGGCCTCCACTTACACTTCATGGATCAGGCTTGGGATTCTTATCCCTGCTCCACTGGCCTCCACCTCCCAGTCTGGCGGAGGTCTCCTTTCTCAACACTGACCATTCATCACAGAGCAACAGGAAGAGGAAGGAGTCGAAGGAGCTGCCTGAGTGGACTGAGATTTCGAGGTCCACTGACAGGATCACGGAAGTCTGGGGGAGGGGCTTGCCGAGCCCTGGGATGAGGACATGGGGGGCAGTTGGCACCGTACTTGATGCTGGGGCTCTGGAGTTGAGCAGAACTGTGCTCAAATTCTGCCTGTCATTGTCAAGTTTATGACATATTGATAAGAATAGGTAACAACTGCTGCCCATTTCCTACTGGCCAGGCATTCTGCTGAGCTCCTAACATGCTTTATCTCATTTCATCCTCATAGCAACTCTTTGAGTTGAGTACTGTATTTCTTTTTTTTTTTAGAGGGCAGCGTCACTGGCCCCCACATGTGGGATCCGAACCGGGGCCCTCTGGAGTCCCAAGCCAGCTCTTAACCTTCGTGCCACTCGGCTGGCCCGAGTACTGTATTCTTATTGCCCCCACGTTACAAATGAAGAAACTGAGCTGGACAGAAGTTAAGTAATTTGCCCAAGTTGCACAGCTTTCTAAGTGGTAGAACTGTGACTCATACTCAGGTCTAGCTCCAAAGCCTATGTCTTTAGTCAAATAACTAAACTGAGCAGACAGGAAAGAAGTTATAAAATCAGACTTGAGAAGCAAGTTCAGTCATTCTCCTCATCAGACACCAACAGTTCCTGCCTGAGAGGCAAGAGCATAACCGTTTGAGCCCAGACTTAGGAGCCAGGCTTCCTGGATTCAGACTCTGGCTTTGCTACTTACACACTGTGTGACCTTGAGCAAGTTACTCAGCTTCTCTGTGCCTCAGTTGTCTCTTATATAAAATGGAGACAATAATAAAACCTACTTCATAGGGTGGCTCTAGGATTAAGTGCTTTTATCTACAGCATCTAGAATAATGCTTGGTATAGGGTTTGCACTATATAAATGTTGACCATTTTTAGTCCTGCAATTCTTTCTCAATTTAAGTTTAGGATGTTGAAAGCAGAAAGCAGAAAGTTATATGCCAATGGATATTACAAAGCCTCATAATTCATCTTCCAACCAGCAGGTGCCCCCCAACACACACACACACACACACACACACACACACACACACACAAGCTACATGAAGCAATGCTTTGTTGAAAGAGCAAGAGCTTTGAAGTCAGAAAGACTTGAGTCCTGTTCTCACTTCACCATCTACTCTGTGGCCTTGGGCAAGTTACTTGACTTCTTTGAGCCTCCGTTTTCTCCTGTGTACCACAGTCCCAACTATATCTGGGTTGCGGGGTCACCGGGAGGAATAAGGAGATAACTATATAATACATGCATGTTGGCGCTTCTCACCCACACAGAGACAGAAGCAACACTGTTTATTCTGGCAAAGTCTTGCTCAGGAAGAAAAGTCAGACCTTTAATACAGAGTTAGTCAAACATTAATGAAGGGCAGATCTGTGGCTAGATCTCTACCAAATGGCACTGCATGTTTGTTCCAGAAAAGGCTCTTTCCATTCTGGCCTATCCAGTCATAACGCAAGGACACGCTAAATTTCAGTCGCTTTCAGGGCACCTCCTATGGAGAACTTAAGCTTTTAAAATATTGTAGGCAAATGAGCCTTGAAGCTCAAAGCAACCTTGGGTCAGAAGACCTAGGTTCTCCTTTGTGACTTTGAACAAGTTTTGTCTAACTTTTCCAGGCCTCCGTTACATCATTTGAATATTGAGGAAAATAATATCCAGCCCCAAGAAATTCTGTAAGGATTAAAGGACATAATAAACAACCTACATTGATTTTTTTTCCTGTTTTTATCCTTCTATAGACTAGATGTCCCTCTTCCCCTCAGGCTAACCCCTCATCCTGTGCTACTCTCATCTCCTCCCTGACATCTATGAGACATCTACTGTCTTCTGTATCCTCGTTCCATCACTCCCTCTACCAGCTCACTTCACTCATTACCACCAGCATTTATATATGCCCAAGTCTTCCTAGTAGATGAAAAAATACACCACCAAATCCATACCCCACAAATTTCCTGAGAAAACTCATTTCGCCGACTATCTCCCCTCCCTCAGCTCCTCCTCCTCAATTCTTTCTGAAGAATTATGCCCAAACCACTCCACTAAAAATGCTTCCACCCAAACTACCCAAAAGCTTCCTCCAACAGACAACTTTTAGCCCTTAACATTTATAAGGAGAGGCAAAGACCCATGATAGCCAACCCAATATGGAAGCAGAAGAACAAAGTTCGAAGACTGACACCATTCAATTTCAAGACTTACTGCAAAGCTACAGTAATCAAGACAGTGTGGAATTGGTAAAGGAATAGACAGATCAATGGAACAGAACAGACAGTCCAGAAATAGACCCACATAAATGGAGTCAACTGACTTTTAACAAAGGAGCAGAGGCAATACAACAGAGCAAAATAGTTTAACAAATGGTGCTGGAACAACTAGACAGCCAAATGTCAAAAAAACAAGAATCTAGACACAGACCTTACACCCTACACAAAAATCAACTCAAAATGGATATAGACCTAAGTGTAAAATGCAAAACTATGAACCTCCTACCAGGCAGCAGAGCAGAAAATACAGGTAACTTTAAGTTTAGTGGTGACTTTTTAGATATAACACCAAAGGCACGATCCATGAAAGAAACAACTGGTAAGATGGACTTCATTAAAATTAAAATTTTCTCCTCCGCAAGGAGACATTGTCAAGAGAAGGAAAAGACAAGCCACAGACTGGGAAAAAATATTTGCAAAAGACATATGTGATAAACGACTGTTACCCAAAATGTACAAAGAATTCTTAAAATTCAGCAACGAGAAAACAAACAGCCCATTAAAAAAACGAGCTAAAGACTTGACCAAGGGGCCGGCTGAGTGGCGCATTGGTTAAGAACTGGCTTGGGACGCCAGAGGGCCCCGGTTCGGATCCCACATATGAGGGCCAGTGACACTGCCCTCCACAGCTAAGATGTTGAACAACAGCTCAACCTGGAGCTGGGCTGCCGTGAGCCGCTGGCGATGGCGTAGGCTGCAACCCCTGCTGCAGTGGGTTGCCATGAGCTACTGTGTGTAGCCAGCAGCCAGCGTGAGCGGCCAGCAGCCGCTGTGAGTGGCCGTCCAGAAGCCAGCGACTGATCTGCCTCGCCCAGGAAGAGCGCAATGATGGTGCCAACTTGGGCCAGTGAAGCAACGTCCTCCACAACTAGACTGAAGAACAAAAGGACAGCAACTTGTCTGTTCCCCTTCCCCCAATTCCCCAGCACTGTTCCCATCCCCCAATTATCCAATAAAAATCTTAAAAAAAAAAAAAAAGACTTGACCAGGTATCTTACCAAAGAATATTTACACATGGCAAATAAACTTATGAAAAGGTGTCCCACATTGTGTGTCATCAGAGAAGTGAAAAATTAAAGCAACTGTGAGATACCACCATCACCTATTAGAATGGCCCAAGTCTGGACACCGACACCACCAAATGCTGATGAGGTTGTGGAGCAACAGAACGCTCACTCACTGTTGGTGAGACTGCAAAATGGTGCAGCCATTTGGAAGGCAGTTTGGAAATTTCTTACAAAACTAAGCATGCTCTTCCCATGTGATCCAGCAATCATGTTCCATGGTATATACCCCAAAAACTAGGTCCCCACAAAAACCTGCACAGGGATGCAGATTTGTTTGTTTGTTTACAGTAGCTTTATTCATAATTTCCCTAACTTGGAAGCAACCAAGATGCCCTTCATTGGAGGAATGGCTAAGTTATGGTCCATCCAAACAATGGAATGTTATTCGGATCTAAAAAGAAATGAGCTATGTAAAGACATAGAGCAACTTCAATGCATATGACTAAATGAAAGAAGACAGTCTTAAGAGGCTACAAACTCTATTATTCCAACAATATGACATTCTGGAAAAGGCCAAACTATGGAGACAGGAAAAAGATCAGTGGTTGTCAGAGGGTAGGGGGGAGGGAGGGATGAACAGGAGGAGCACAGAGGATGTTCAGGGCAGTGAAACTAGTCCAAATGATAGCAAAATAGCAGGTACGTGTCAATATAAATTTTCCCAAAAACATTAGAAGTGGGCATTAATGTAAACTACTGACTCTGAGTGACAAGGATGCGTCAGTGTGGGTTCATCAGTCATAACAAACGTACCCCTCTGGTGGGGAATGTGGTTAATGGGGGGCAAGGCTGAGCATATGGGGAGTCTGTGGGAAATCTCTGCATTTGCTGCTCAGTTTTGCTCTGAATGTAAAACTGCTTTTAAAAGTAAAATCTATTAAAAAACAAAACAAAACTATACCCATCATCTTCCCCACCCCAGCCCACCCCACAAATAAGAAAGCTGACCTTTTGGGGGTTCTTGGTTTCAAACAACAAAATTCACTCAGGCTTATTCAAACAGAAAGGAACGTGAATTAAAATGACGCAACTAGCCTTCAGCGTTGCCCACTCCAATCCATCCTCTCCATTCTGAGATGCTTCCTGAAAACCCTGTAACAGATGCCATTTGCTCTTAGCACAAGGTGTAGACACCGTGGGGATGCTGCGAGTGCCCTGCCCACATCCCCTCCGTCCACCCTGAATACCACCTAAAGCTGGTCCCACACATGCAATGGCTCGGGGTCCCCAGACCCGCCTGAGGGCGCTCTCTGAGGAGGAAGAACTGCCCCGCCACCCGACTCCTGCCCCGCAACCTCAACCAATGCGGGACGAAAGTGCTGGATCAATGCGCCTCGATCGTCAGGTCAATGTGACAGCTCACAGGTAAGCCCTACACGGTCTCTTGGGGGTGTTCAGTGGCTCTGAGCTGCGGCTGCCCAGGGCAGTGCCCTGTTGGTTGCCAGCCTTCTCTGTCTTACTTCCCCATTCCTCCACCATGCTTCCTGGAACCACCTTCCAAATAAACTACTTCCACCCAACCCTTGCCTCAGTTTCTGCTTTTGAGGTACCCAACCTAGGACAGTTCCCTTGTATGATCTGCAATTCCCTTCACCCTGGGGCCTTGGCTTTCTTTCCCATCACTAGCCTTTGCCGTTTCCCCGCGAGCGCGCTGTTCTCCAGGTGCTCGGAACTTCTTTCAGCTCCATCATGCGCTCTCCTCCATCCAGGCCTTCCCGCGAGCTATCTTTCTCCTCTCGGAACATTCCGTAGCCTACTCTTCATCTGACTAACTCCTTATTCAACCCTGATGGACCTGCTGAGATGTCATTTCCTCCAGTAAGCTTTCCTGAATCCCAAGTCCAGGTTTTGTGTTCCTTCTGCCGCTCTCAAGACATCCTAAATACAGCACATATCATTTTGTAAAAGTGTCCTAAATTCTCTGCCTCCACCAGTGGCCTCTAGGTTTCAGAGGGGTAGAGACATCTCTTTTTTGTTCGTTGCTGCACCAGAACAATCTAGCACAGTTCCAGGCACAAAGTAAAACTTTATGACTAGCCCTTGCCCACAAGAGGTACCAAAACTATGGAAATGAACAGGAAAGAAGAACCGAAACAGGGCTGGAAACAAGTCACAGTGTAACGTAGCCGAACGGGCAGGACTAGGACTGATCAGGGAAGCAGCCCGAGATGACACAGTGCAGCTTCCTTGTGGGTGCCACCTGAGTCACTGTGGAACAAGAACGGACCCACCTCCAACTCCAGAAATCATGGAGCTGGCTGTCAATACACAGGACACGGACCACATAGGTTTGTGGAGAGCGTCGCCGTCAGGATAGTTCACGATTTAGAGTTAGCCTTCATCATGTAGCAGGAGGCACTCACAGTCTTAATAACCAACGTATGTAATTTGGCAACAGGACAGGCTGTATCAGAGGCCAGCAGCACAGTGAGTCCCATCAGGTCTGGCAGCTGTCCTTGAGTGGTGACTCAGGGACTTCCCGTCAGCCAGGGGAGGTGGAAAGGAGGGAGGACAGACAATGTGAAGGAGCTCAAGTCTGATGGCTCAGCACCTTGGCCCTGAAGTAACAGTCCCTGCCACGTCATCCCTCTGCTGGGGACTCGTCACACGGCCCCACCAGGCTGCGAGGTGGGGAGTGGGCTTCTGCTTTCTGATTGCTCTCCAGCGTGGACGGGCAGCACGGGTCTCCGGCGGTCAGCTACCTGCCTCTGCCACCCTGCCACAGGTATTCTTTTAGGAAACTGGAGCGATCTGAGAAGGAGTAGGGCTCCTTATTATAATAGCATAGCGGCCATACCTTCATTGTATCGAATGGAGACAGAGTCACAGATGGACACGGCTCGCTTCTCTCACAGGGACCTTCATGACATTCTCCGCCCTCACTGGACTCCCTGCCCCCGATTTCACCCTGTCTCACCCTCCCCTCCACGTCCAGTTGATGATACAGTTCGCTTTCAGAATAACTGCTCTGAATTCAAACCGGTTCCTCTGAAATCACATCAGTGGCTCTTTCGTACCTCTAGGACAAAGTGGACCTTCCTCAGCACTGGCTTCAGCCCCTCCAGCCTCATCTCCTGCCATCATTGCTTGTCCCACTCTGCGCTTCAAACTACCTGCAGCTCCCCAAAGCATCAGGCTGCTTCATGCCACGCACATGGCGTGGCTTCTATCTGAAATACCCTCTTCCCTGCCCTTGGGGAACATGCAGCTCCTGCAAGATTCAACTCAAGTCTCTCTTCCTCTGTGAAGCCGTCTTTGAATCTGCCCGCCTGCCCCCACCCAACTGTCGTTCGCTGTTTTCTTCTTGGAGCCTAAACTTTTCTTGGTCATATAAGGTGTGATAAAAAAAAAATACAGTGAATGTTTAAATTAAAAAATATATATATAGTAAAAGACACATTGCCATGAATCCCCCTCAAACACTCCCCCTCGCTTCGAACACACTTATCCCATCCTTCTTGCCACTTTCTGAAGCAGTTCTGGAAGTCCTCTTTCATAAGTGTCTTTAGTTGCACTGCCGTGGCTGCCTCTATGTCCCAAATCATTTTGACTTTGAGGAAGAGCCAGAAGTTGCACGGTGCCAGATCCGGTGAATAAGGTGGATATAGACACACCGTCATGTTTTTATTGGACAGACATTCCCGCACCAGAAGTGACGCGTGACATGGAGCGTTGTCATGATGGAGGATGAAGTAAAGACACTCACGAAGGACTCCCAGAGCTGCTTCAGAAAGGGGCAAGAACGATGGGATGAGTGTGTTTGAAGTGAAGGGGGGTATTTTGAGGGGATTAATAGCAAGGTGTCTTTTACTGTAATACATTTTTATTTAAATATTCACCATATTTTTGATCATCACTCGTATTTGACTACCACGCTGCACTGCAATTACTTGTTTATACATCCGCTTTACCTATTAGAATGTGAACACCCTAAGTTTCCGGACCAAGTCTTTTCATCACTGTGTTTTCAGAGCGTGACATGATATCCAGTGGTACTAGGAACTCAGGAAATGCTTGATGAATGAATTCATGCATGTATATGCATATGAAGGAATCAAGTCACGCATGCAGAGTGCATGTTGACTGGTGACATTCTTTTGTTGCTTATGGAAGCCAACAGATGAAGATAATATTTCCAAGCTAATATATGTGCCTCTAGGGCCTGTAATTTCAAGGCAGCTCGTGACTAAAAAATTCATGAACAATTTCATCCTGCTTTCAGATTCAGCTGGGGAGTCAAAACAGTATTTTCTCATTTCTGCTGATTCTTTTATATCTACCCATAAGTTTAAACCGAACATGCAGAACTAACTCAGATACCCAAAAGGAACAGCAAGCAGGAGCGAGTTCCTATTCACTGAGAAATCAACACAACAGAAGATTTATGCTGAGACTAAACAACTTTCTACAGATGAAGATGGGTTCAAATTTTGCTTCATTTTTTATCTTCTTTTTATAACAAGAACCAGGTAAAAATAGGTGAGCCGGTTTTATTAAAGAACTTTTTAAGAAAAACAAAAGTTGACTATTTCATATGTTTTCTCAATTAAATTGTCAATATTTATACCAAAAATTAAAGTTTTCTAAGTATCAGAGGACTGTGACTTATAAGACCTTTCCTAGCCTGCCTATTAAACTTTGATCTACATCATACATTGTCATTTCAGTGCTCGAGATTAACGATATATTTACAGTCCCATTCTTCATGGCTCAGTCCTGTTGATTAGATTAACCAGGAAGATGGCAGGAAATCATACTGAGTGAAATGTGCTAGATGCTTTATACATATCATCGTTTGTAACCTCCTAAGGAAGTGCAGCAGGCTCCCGACTGCCCAGCATCTGAACTCCCTCCACACGTTTGAGGAATCCCCTCTTTTATGAGTCTGCCTCCCTCTGAAAGGCTGGAAAGCCAGGGCCTCACTTTCCCAGACTCCTTTGAAATAGGAAGTTAGCAGGAGGCCTGGGCCACCTAGCAGGTATACTGCTCCAGATTTGAATCAAAAGCTGGTGACCTAGAGCAGCAGGAACTATGAAGAATCTCTGTTAATTAAACTCTTACATGTGGCCACATGGAATAAAGAATCCACTGAAGGGGAGATCTGAGGGACAGAGCAGTCCAGACAAAGACGAACAGCATGGGGAACTCCATACTCCAAGGAAGGGAAGGTGATGGCTTCTTCTAACATCCCTGGACAGAAAAAGAAACACAACAGTAAGATGAAATTCTGACATTTTACCCACACAATCCAAAACTTACAGAACTTTAAAAAATAAAGCTTTCTTATGCATCTTTAATCATAATAAAAACAAGTTTTAAAAAATAAAGATAAAACTCTTATCTCTTAGGGCCACAAGACTGAAAGAGCCGAGAAAACAACAGAAAGTTTGATTCTGTGAGTCACCAAATTACATGTTCAACCCACAGCCTTGCAAGATCTTTCGTGTGAGATTTAACGCCTGAGCAGAAAGAATTTAACCCCAAGTACCGGAATTGGGAAATATGGTAGTATATGGCCAACCCAGAGCCCTCAGGAACCTCTCACTGAGTCTTCATCATCCAAAACTGCCACCCCCTCCTTGTCCCATGAGACTATTTCAGCGTCCCCTGATGACCCCACAACTTGAGGGGGGCCCTGTGCGAGGGGAAGCCAGCTCATCTCCCACTCGACTCACACGGACACTGACCATCTCCAGGCCTTTCACCACAGCAGATCTCGGCATGCCCTGCAGGGCCAAGCCCAAGGTCAGACTCCTGATGCCACTGGTGGAACAGGCTTTGTGCTTGCTGCTGTGTTGTGAGAGATCATTGGTCCTGAACATCAAGAGGAAATATGGATGCTGCCTAACCGAGGCTGGGAAGAGGAGATCCTTGGGGTAACTCCTGGTACTGCCATGTCCAGTGGCCAGAATGAAGATAGAGAGGACTGCCAAGAGCTTGGGTCGCCAGGAGCGGAGGTTGGAGTCATACCACTGTATGAAGAACATCCATCTGCAAAGATAAAAGGATGGGGATTGAAGGAGGGTAGTCAATAGCACTTCCTTGTGACCTGATGAAGACGTGGAATACAGCACCTGTCCTTTCTTGCTATGTCATATATGTAAGTACATATTTAAGCTACTTTTCTCTTTCTCTCTTTTACGTAGGATATGCTGCTGACGATTAACTTTACAACTCAGACTGTATATTCCAGAACACTGAGAAGGAACGGACGCCATCTGGAGATCCTGATTTTGGTGATGAACACAATAAGCGATGGGAGCGTTATACACCCCTTGGAGAAGGGATGAGAGCACTTCAATTACAAATCACAGCTGCATTACGTTGTGTCATAGGAATTTTTCCTTTTGCAAGTGCAAATATAGGAAAAGGGAGGTAGGCCAATGTTGGACCACCAAAGGGGTGGACTGCAGATTATGAGGGGGTGAGGGGATGCTACCTGGCATCTGGTCCTCCTCCTGTGTTTGGAAACCTTCCAGGCTTAGGAGTTTGGGTGGATGGGAAGAGCCTACTGAAGCTGACATACCACCTACTTGCTTTCCCAGACTCCTTTGCTGCTAGGAAGCAGCAGGTGACCTAAGTCCTCCAAGCAGGCACATCTTGCCCCAAATACTGGATTGGAAGCTAGCGACGCTAAAAAGCAGAGACTGCAAACAATCCACCGAATCAGTGGCAGGGCAGGTGGGCAGCAATCCTGAGTTCCCGGGAGCGAAAGGGCAGGGGTGCCAGTTAACATCAGGGTCCAGCTACAGGGCATCACTGTCTCCACCAGACCAGCTTTGTAACATGCTTCTCCCGTGGGCCTGGCAGCTGCCTGGACACCTTTGTTCCTGTGCATTTTCCTTTCTTGAGATTCCGCGAGCTATCCAAGACCCTTTCAGTAAAATCCTTTATTGTGTAATTGTGCAATTAAATGCATAGTTGATTTCTGTCGTTACAAACTAAGAGCCCTGACTGATACCGGTGGATTTTATCTCCCTTGCCCCCCTACAGAAATCAAAACTTGAGAGAAATGAAGCGACCACAAAATAAGACTTAACCAAGGAGTGGCAGGCTGGGCTCCAGGCCTGCCTGTCCCTCTGCGTTCCTGCCCCTCCAGCACACAGCAGTAACCAGACTGAAATGTTTCCCTCCCTGAAGGACAACTGCTCAACGATGTTGTGAAATTAATGAAGAGGAAACCCACACACAACATTTTAATGGAAGATGAGGAAAAATCATTTTTTCCAAGAACGTTTCCCAGACTCTGCCTATCAGAATCGGCCACCAGAGTGGAAAGCAGTGGAATGCGACACGTCTGTCCTCTTCAAAACAAAACCTGTTTCCTTTCTCTGACAGAGTGTGCCAGAAAAAAACAACAAAAAAAAAACGTGCCTAAGAAAACAAAGAAAAAGTCAAAGGACAGTATTTTTTTTTCCTCCTGCTAGAAAGTGGAAGCAATCTTTTGAATAATTAATTGACTAAAGGGACGTAGTTCCAGGGAGACTTGGTCCCGAACAATTGTGGGAGGTGCACAAACTCCAAATCCACAAGACCAGCCCTTTCGCAGGAACACCGAGTTGGCTCCATGACTGGTTTGGATCAGGGCAACACCCTCTGTCTTCCTCAGATCTTGGGACAGGTCATGTCTTGGCAGAGTGGGCACCTATGAACGCTCACTGAATGAATGCATCTTCCCCGTTCCTGTATTAAGAACTCAGAGCCACCTCACCTGGAATTCAGGTCCTAAGAATACGGAGGACCTGAAAAATAGAAATCGCTTTCATCTTTTTGGAGGCTGTAGTGCCTTCTTTCATTCACTTTTGTTAGTGCCCCAGGTTCCATTCCCTAAGGTTCTGACTGCTGAGGAAGATGAACTGGGAGCAAATTAAGCATGACTGACAGGGCCCGCCTTTTCTGTCAGAAGGATCATTAGAAAAGCAATGAATTGCCTGAGGTGCGGGTGAAAAGCTCTGGTCAAGCAAGGAGGGTGTTTTCAGCCATCGATGCCTGATCCCACAGAATATACACTAGTAGAATCAGACTCACTGTTTTCTTATCCCTGAGCTAAAAGGAAAGGCCAGACCTAACATCTCAATGTCTGGATTCCCCTCTACTTACTCTGGGAAACCATTTATTTTTTTGGTTCCATCAATATTTTCTTTTTTTTTTTTGTCACATCAATATTTTCATCCCCTCCAGGATCGCTATGGAGTGACCCTGAAGATAAACCTAAGACCTACTCTGTACCACTGGCTCCTACTCCTGTTCCTTATCTTTAAAAAAGATGTTAACCTGGAGGCATAGCATAGGCGGAATAAAGCCTTCCTTCCCCTCTATGAATACGTTATCTTACATGACTCTGCACATACACTCTGCAGATGTGATTAAGGTTAAGGACCTTAAAATAGGGAGCTTATTCTGGATTATCTGGGTGGGGCCAGTCTTTAGCACCGGTAGTCCTTAAGGGCACAGAAACTTTCCTGCTGGGTTAGAGAGAAGGAAGGGGAGGACAAGCAGAGCTTGGAAGGGTGAGGGGGACTCAACCTACCACTGCTGGTCTCTAGAACAGCCCTCAGCTGACAGCCACCAAGCTACTGGGCATTACGGTCCTACAACAGCGATGAACTAAATTCTACCAACAACCTAGATGGGCAAAGAAACAGGTCCTCCCCTGGAGCCACTAGAAAGGGGTGCTGGCTGTGGGCCCCTGGACTTTAGTGCCAAGACCATGTCAGACTCTGACCCATGGAACCTTAAGATAACACACTGATGTTGTTTAAGCCTCTAGCTTGTGGTAATTTGTTATGACAACAATAGAAAACTAATACAAGACATAAGGCTCCCCCTGAGGGTTTACTGCTCTCTGCCTGTTCAAGTTCACTTTAGAAACCAGTGCACAGGAAGCCAAGAGGGGGCCTGCTTTTTGTCCTTGCGGTTTGCTTTCTCCTTTGTGTTTCTGACCAGCTCTAAGAGCCCCTGCCTGTCTCTCTGGAGTGCCACTAGCACCCCCTGTCCTGTGTGGAATTTCTCCCGGAGGAGGGGGCCGTTGGGTTGTGACGGGGGNATGTCATTTGCCAGGACGCCCCAGGCTGCCTGAATTGCTTGAAGACAGGAGGGCTATCAGCTCTGGTCCAGAGCTGTGCTTTGAGACTCAAGATACAAAGGTCAGCCTCTGAGCTAATAAAGGCAGCTTCTCCTCTACGGATCCCAGGATGCTGGAGCCGGTGGGAACCTTTAGGTCATCTAGTTCAGTCTCATTTAGTGAGGAAAACGGATGCCCAGAGGGTTAACATGCCTTCCCCGGAACACAAAGTGAGCTGTTTCAGAGCTGGGACTCTACACCTGGTCTCTGGGTTTCCAGGTCAGGATCTGGCTTCCATCCCACGGGTGGGCCCCCAGCCCTGGACGTGCATAGAATCACTGGGGGGACTTTTTAAAGAAACACTGATGCCAGGCCCTCAGCCCCAGAGTTTCTGATTCAATTGGTCTGGGGTGGGGCCCAAATCAGAATTAGTCTTCAAAAGCTCCCCTATTCTACGGTGCTTTACAGCAGGATCTGGATTTTAGCCCGCTCTCAACACATGCTGAGTTCCCCTAAAAGGTCCAGATTAATAGTTCACGTCCAATATAACAAAGAGACCAATACCAGTTATATTCCCGGTCACGATAGGTTCTAGCAGATGCAAAGTAAAATCAAAATATTTAATTGAGTGTCCACAAGTTCTTCCCTAAAAGAAGCTCTCTTTTTCCCCCGTGCTGGTGAGAGAGAACTTCCTGCCATGTAGTTTCTGCCGTCTGACTCCTTTTCCTGCCCCTGGGCCCGTGCTGTCGGTGGTTCCTTTTCCCCCCCATGCCACAGGGGACTAAACAGTCCCTCCCCAAACCTCAATGCCAAGGTCCACAGCTCTCTACCTGGTGCTCCCCACCTGGCTGCCTGCACCACCTCTGGCCTGCGTGGCCACCCTCCACGCAGCCTGGGCCTCCTGCGGCCTCCCTCTCCTGGAGGTCGGCCACTGAAGCCATGCCAAGGGGAGTTGCTGCCTCCACAGCGGCAGTTGTGCACAGAAACACACTGTTTGCAGCTGCTTTGATTTTTAAGGTTAACATCTGGTTTATTACAATTAAAAGCCTAGTATTTCTAATATACACCTTCGTATTCTAGTTATTAATCCAGCAAAATTCAACAATCACTTTTAAGGAGTACCTTCAGATATTAATGACGTGCCCATGCATATTTTAAAAGTGACTTTGTAGGTTTAGTATACTTTTTACTTTTTATTTTCTGACTCATGAGACCTTCCGTTTAGCTCTCAAGTCACTGTAATGTCAATGTCAATTCACCAGATCTTTCCCAAATGACGGAATTACACTGTCCATTCTTGGCACTTGATCACCTGAATTGAGCTGACTGCACTCTATTCTCCTCGTCTTCTCCTGGCTTGGCAGGGCCATAACTCACATTGTTAACTAGCCCCCTTTAGGTTCTATGAGGCTCTCCCAGTCTTATCTGGTGCCCCAATCACTAGGCTCTGTGCTACTGACCCTTCCACTACGTGCTAACAGCACCCCACACCACACCAATGCCTGTCTTGTCCCCAGTTTCCCACCCTCCTTGGCCTGTCCCAACATCCCTGCACAGACCAAGTTCAAGTGCTGAGGCGACCTGACCTCTGCACTGTGGTACTTGTCTTTTCCCCTTCCTGTCCTCCAGCCATGTCTCCAGACCCATCTCCAATGCCACCTTCCTTCACTACAGCCCACGCTGATGTCGCTCTGCTGCACGCACACATCACCCGTTGCTGGCACTCGTCATTTAACATTACCCTGTGCATCAGATTATTGCCGGGTATTTTTTTCCTGTTTTTTCTTTTTCTTTTTTTAATCTTTTCTCTCCTAGATTAGAAACTCTTAGAAGGCCAGGGCTGTGTTTTTGAGTGTCTCCCTGCCTATGGCCTAGCATAGTGCCTTGGGCACATCAGCTTCCTTAGACCCAACTAGGAGGTGGAGAG